AAGAAAAGAAAAAGAAAAAAAAAGGCACCGTAATAACAAAGTAGTTTGTTTTAAAATGATATCAAATGTGTATTTTCGTGTTCCAGTACATGTTTTTTTAACGATGAGTTCCGTTTTAAAGCATCGGGTCACAACTTCCAAAATACTATTCAAGTTAATTTGGGACAATCATCAAACAATCGACATTTACTTAAGTACAACTGTGGAGTTCTTTACCTTAATGTTTCCATTTTATATTACTTTACACTTCTAGAAACAACTGTACTTTTTACTCCATATATCTATCTACATTTCCCATGTATGTATGATGACTGGTTATTTACAAATTAAGAATTTACATTCAAAACATGTGATCGTTTGGCATTGCTGTAAAATAAACAGTATATAAAATGAGCGTCACCTTGATTAATTTGCAAAGTTAAAGTTCTTCTTGCATGTTAATGCATCAATAATTGGAATACCCTCATGTGAAACATATATAACACGTTGATAGTGGTCCATATACATACATACACTCACTTACTACAAGTATAATGATAATTATGAAGACTACGTTTTACTAAAAAAGTTAAAGTACTACTTTTTATTCTAAAATTTTATTAAAAAGTATTTATTTTACATTGTGGTTTTACTACTTTTACTGGAGTAAAGGATCTGATTACTGTTTCCACCACTGACACAATATATACAGGGCAATATACTGTCAGCTGTTCCAGTTATTTTACACACAAAGAAAACATATTTACTTTAATCATGAAAACCAAACCGGAAACAGCGTTTGTTAAAATATAAACTTTTTCTAGAGACACGCGTGGGCATGTAGATCTGTAGTGCACACTCACAACTCTTGCTTTCAGAGGTCCGGACATTTTACACTTTGTTCGCTGCACTTTTACCTCAGTTGTATCCGATGTTTGAGCTCACAGCCCGAGCAGACAGCCCTGCAGACCATGTGTACACTGAGGGAGTAATGCATACTTCACTTTATATCATAGGCGGGGCAGACTACGGAAGCGTATTGCATTCACGGGAAAAAAAAAAATCCCAATTAACGACTTATTATGTCATAATTATGAGGTACGGTTGTTTAATTATCCTGCTCTGTTTTCTGAAGTGTGTGGACACGAAAAGACAGCCGAGAACAGGCCCTGCTGTGGACACGGACCTCATGTTGTCCCTCCGGTTACAGAACCAGTACCGGTACCGGTACCAGTACCGGGGGCTGAAGGAAAGGATTGACCCCTGCATGGGCCCGCGGCAGCTCGCTCGAGGCCGGATACAGGATTTGGGTTAGGCTCGTGGGGGATAAATGTTAGTTTTGGCATTAAGTCATAATTATGATATAAGAAGTTAAATAAGAAAAACAAAGCAATTTGTTTTTGGAAGTGAATGGAATGCGCTTCCGTAGCAGGCAGCCACTAGAAAGTACATTTCAAAAACTGGCATATATATATATATATATATATATATAGTTATATAGTATGGCCTTTACATAGAGGAGGACACAGAGCAGGGCGACATCTAGTGGCTGTGGCGTGGACAAGCATGAAGTGTTGTGACAGTGACACTGCTCAGGTTGCTCCGTTGTGGGAACTTTTCTTTTGCAGCTAATGTGGCCAAATACCATATACCATCAACTCTAACAATTACCATTCATTTAGCAGCTCTTTCAGTCTGTTTTTAGAAAACTTCTTACCCACATATGTGGCCACTTATGATACATTTGTGGATGTTTAATAGCACTGAACTCTGTAATCGGCTCAATTATATTTCATTTGTTGTTTGAGAAATCTGAACCTACATTGGTTTCAGTACATTTACATCTGTCCAGAATGAGTCACTGAGTTTGCACATAACATATACTAAAATAAATCATACATTTTAAATGTTTATTCCAAAAGATCAGAAATCCCATCGGGCAAATGTAAAAGTCCTTTACATTGAGACACAGCTCAAGCCTAAGCTGAACAGGGAGACTTCATGCCTTTGGTTACCAACTTTGGTAGGGATAAAACAAGAGACTGGGAAGAATAAAACAAGACATTCTTCATAAAGTTGTAAAAGTAGCATCAAACTGCATGGCCAACAGACACATGGATATAGAAGCAGAGAGAGTCAGTATTTGGTTAATATGCACTGCAGGTTTATTACAAGTTCCATTTACTACAGGGTAGAGGAAAGAACTGGGAGAACCCAATTCACATTTACCTACAGCCAAAACCATTTTCATCAGAAAAAGGGAAGAAAAAAAAAAAAAAAATACTGGTAAAAAACACTTCGGAGCATTTAAAAGAAGAGGTTGGAACAATAATTTCAATCACATCAGAAGACAACCAAGTGTAAAATATTCTGCACATTTGTAACAACCACCCTTCTGTGCAGACAGGAAGGGACGACAACTGTGGACAGCTTCATTTCTTAGCTGGTGTCCATCTGAGAAGAGAAAACAAGAATGAAATTAGACAACTAAAAACAACAATTTGTTCATTTCTGACAGGCACTAAATGGACAGCTGAACATACCCTGGCATTGTAGGCATCTAACTGGGCGTCGAGTTCCTCTGCTGACAACTGCTGCTTGCTAGTACCGCCTCCTCCACGACCACCTCGGCCCCTTCCTCTGGCACCGCCTGCACCACGTCCTCCTCTTCCTCTCTGCATGGCCCCGAAGCCACCCCCACGATTTCTGTTCATGCCTCCACCGCCTCTATTCAGACTAAAAAACAACAACGCCGGTCACACAGTGTCCACAATGTCTGCGAGTCACGTTTCTTGAACAAAAGACGACTAAACACTCACCCTTGCATAGGTCGCCTCTGTGTGTCAATCTGTGATGTGACGAGCTGTATGTTCATAGGCCGCCCTAAAGAGACAAAACAATATAACAAACCTCACAACTCTGACAAGTAACTTGACAAAAAATGAATGGTCTTGAACATATTGTTAGTTGTATATGATTCAAGTTCAAGACATACCATCAAGTGGGATGCCATTGTATTGCTTCATGGCCTTGAGGGCATCTGCCCTCCTTTCGAAGTGGACGTCTGCGGTGCCCAGGCTTCTTCCTGACCGGTCGTAATGAACTGCAGCCTTTTTCAGAGTCCCAAATTCAGCAAAAAGTTCCTGGGAAGAGGAAAGAAAAAACACCTTAGTAACCATCACTTTTTGTGTAGCAAGCCAGGACAAACACGCTCCACTAACAAAAACAAACGAGTACAGTGAAAATTCAAATACCTGAATGTCCGCATCTGAGACCCCAAAGTCGAGATTGGAGACAAGGAGCTTCCCTCCAGTTTCCACACCAGCTCCTCCGCCACCCCCAGCAGCACCATTGAAGCCGCTGAAGCCGTTGTCAAACATGTCATGCTGCCACTTATCTGGAAGCTGTTTAGGCTGCAACAGACGAAAGAGAACGCACCTGCTGACTTCAGGATCCCCTTGCCTCTGTCAATCACAGAGTCCACACGGCTGGGTGTTGGGGCAAGCAGGGGCTCCACTTCCAACATGGCCAGGGTGCTCAACTCCCCCAAGAGGGTCCCCAAAGTTCCCTGCCCACCCCATCACTACAAGCAAGTGAATCAGTTCAGACAGGACACACACACAGAACAAACAGCTTGACTATAAGAGCAAGGGGATGTGTTGTACAGCACCTCTAAACATAATATAACATCATTTCAAACATTACGAGCATCTACTAAGACTGTATATACTTATCTAAGAATCAAATCTGAGCACTTTATTATCCCAAACCCACCCGCCCACCCACCCACAATCTCTATACTAACCCCTGAACAACTTGCCCACCCCGGCTAGCTACCAACATTGCCCATTGTTCTCTTGCCATCTGCGCCTCCACCAAAGGCTCTCCAGATACGCTCCTCGGGTACACAGGGGTCGCCATCTGAAGCAGCGTTGCCTCCAGCGTTGCACCATGTTTCCCGGCCCGCACAAAAGTTCTTTACCAAGCCACGATAGGGCTTTCGTGAAGGGGAAAGTGTCCATAGGATGAGGTGGATCAGAAAACAACTACGGCCAGCTACCCCTTCTAAGCGAGCGTGGATTATTTGAGCGTCCATTTTGAGACCACGCCATTTTGAGTGGGGCTCCGCTGGGTTTGTCTAAATACTCATTCACACTTAAGGAGTGACGATTAGCCTTATATGAACACTATCAGGGGGCGGGGGGTTGAAGTCCACTGATCCATCCGCAGGCAACAGCCCCACTGGTTGAAACGCCACCAAACAGGCCTTGTTGTGAACCCCGCCAGCCACTCCCGAACAAAAGGCCGCCTGGTCGCTGCACCGGGACACTACGCTCCCAAACGTGGTGGAGAAAAAAAATCATTTGCGGGTGAAATTTCTCGTTGACGTGGTTTCCTCACACCATCACATTGACACTTGGGCTGGAAAGCGCCGCTACTGACCGAGGGCGACTATCTCTAATTTAAGCAGCTTGATTCAAAATGGCGCCGCCGAGGCCTTCACGATCCAACTTTAGCTAGTTAGCCACTGTGGCTAACATATTCGCTCTCTCCAAAAGGCCTCTTCTTGAAAAACAACACATGGGTTGTGGGAGAAGGGACACACTATGCATACAACTTCCATTAATGCTCAACCGCGACCCATAGAGGTTTCCCACGTGGGGAAACTCTGCGGTCATAGCAATCATTTTATTCGCTTGACTAGCACACTGGCTAGAGGGTTAGCTAGCAAGCCTACTGGAGAACAGAAGGATGTTACCCAGGCATTTTCAGGTCTGCCGGAGGTTTTTTTTTTTCCTCTTTCTGCCCATTCCTCTAATTTTCTCATACCCTGCTGTAAGGCGTTGGTCTGCCTCTACCGCGGTTCAGGTTCTGTCGGCTCCTCATGGGGCCGGATCCGCCGCCTCGGCCTCCAAATCCAAATCCAAATCCTCCTCCTCCTCCTCCTCCGCTGGCTCCCAGACGCCCAGCGCCTCCTCCTCGACCGCCGCCGGAGCCTCCGCGGCCTCGACCTCTTCCTCCGCGGCCTCCACCTCTCTGCTGCCTGTTCTGTTTGATAATGTCGTCTAGAGACATATCCATTTTATCGGCCATTATGCTGCCCAATAGTGCTAAACTTTCAACAAAATATAAAAAAAATACACCCTAGCCTCGTTTGGTCCCTCTCTTTGCCCTTTCACAGCTCAGCGCTCTTCTGCTCCGACGACACAAACACAATGAGCCAACGTCCGCTGGATATAGACACACTGGTTGGGCGCGTACGGCACGTACGGGACACGTCATCACGTAAGACACAAAGCCATTCTCCTGTAACAGTGCTGTAACAACATGTACTGTATCAGTGGCACAAATCAACATGCATGGCTGGATCGTGTTCCTCAATAACTCGTATTTATAGTTATTCATTTAAAGTTCTGCTTCACAGATTTAAATCGGAGCTAAAACAACGCAAAATGTAGCTGGTTCCAGTGTTTTAACTGTGAGTATTTGCTGGTGTTCTTATCCTTCTGTGACATCAAACTAATTATCTACAGTCACACAAAACAATTTGAATATGTATATCTCAGCTCTAAGAAATTGTGTCTCATTGGCTACATATATATATGAGTATATGATAAGTTACAGACCAAATGATTAATCAATCGATTGAGAAAATGAAGGCTCAAGCTCTAAAATCAGTGTAATCAGGATACAGCATAATCATTTCTCCCAGGTAGTTGGCTTTATGAAATTACCTCCAGTGTAAAATTCAGGTAAGTTTGTCCTTTCTCCTTGTTCCATGGTCAATATTTATGTAGGATCAATACAAGCAGCAGTATTGTAAAAGTCTTTTATTCAACATTTTGTTTCAAGGCTTGGGGGAGGGGGGTTTAACCAAGGGCAGCATTCTGGGGGAGGTCTCTACTTAGTAAAGTCCATTTGAGGGCAAGAAAATTTATAATAAAAAGTTGGCCTTCTACATTGCATTTGGCTTCCAAAACTTGCCCGTAAAGTGTGTATCCAATGTGACCCTTCCATTACCTCTACAATTTACCGACAAATTATCTTCCAAAACGAACTAAAAAACAAAAAAAAAGTCAGCCCTTTCGCATTTTCCTCCAAAGTCAAATACGTAGCAGTAGTAAAGAAAACAGGGTTTGTATTTAAGACTGCAGTCTTTTGTGTCTTGTGGAGAGTGTCAACAGTTTGTACATCAGCATCAGATGTCAGCAAATTTTGATGAAAGTTTGCATCAGTCCCGTCCACATAAAGAATGTACATATGAAGATTTTATGACTTGAAAAAACATGAACCAAGAGACGGGAGAATTTGTGCTCCCTGGAATCCCACCTTTCTTCTTTTTCAGTTGTAGAGGGTAAAGGAAGAGACAGAGGTTGCTATGGTCCAGAGCGAGAAGCGAGACTGGCATTCAGTGCTAGAAGGGCCAACAGGGCTGACTTTCTGGCTGATGGAGGAAAAGTTCTTGAGGATAATGGGTGGAAAAAAGCGATTGGACCATCATGAGAAAGACTAGGACTTCTTGGAGTCCTGTGTGTTGCGTTTCTTGAGGTCACTCAGGTCCACTGGTGTGAAAGCTGCAAAAGTAGACAGAAACAAGTTGTTAACTGCCCCATGCTTGATCAAATGAATCCTGTAGTGTGACATACAAATAAAATCCACTAGTGTAACTTACAATGTAGGTTAGGATTTGGGTTCTTCTCCACATACTCCTGTGGTCCACGGTCATTACGTTCACTATTTTGTGTTGATCTGATATCTCTAAGCACACACTGCCAGGCTGTGAAAGAGTCAAGATAACAATGTTTTTATTACATTTGGAGACTTTATCCGATCCTGTACACTTGTTAGCTCGTAACAAACAGACTGAAGGTAAAGGAGCTCAACTTAATGAAGGTAATCAATGTCACTGCATCCAGGTGTGCTGGCATTTGGTAACTTCAACTTAGGAAGTGCTTCAGTGCTTCAGTGCCAGTTCTTGTACTGTGAGTTAGAAAGCTAAGCTAAGCTATCTAATTATACTTTTAATGATGATGGTTAAAGTGATCACTGAAAAGCAATCTGATGTAGTGCTGGGCGATGCACTGGATGAACCGGTTTTAATTTCCTGTAAATTAATTTTTCATATACCTGTGCACAGTTGACAAACCTGCTGTAACTCTTTAAAAGGCAGCAATATGGTTTTTGCCGTGAAAAACGCTACAGTCGGGGCAAGCTGTATAGCTTGTATTGAGAGGGGAGCCCATTTAACTGTTGTAACTTAATAATACAACAGTTAATAACCCACAACTATCTCTTTTTAACAGGAAAAAACACCACAGCACACATCATTTAAGAAGAAAAAGTTAAATTAACCTCATTTTTACTACTATTCTTAGGACTTTTTGGGAGTTTTTGGCCTCTAGTAGCTATATGGATTATATTTCTGAGTCGGTCCCTGTTTTGTTTTGTTGAGTACACATAGTCCTGATAATGGTTTCAGGTTATTCCACTGATCTACAGGTGGTAGTAACAAGAATTGTTTACATGCTACACATTAAGTGATCAGAATGAAGAGTTCTGACTTGTACAGTATACAGAATACAGAACCACACCACAGTCAGACTGTTTTTATTAGGTGTATTAGGTATTGTGCCTTAATATACTATTTTTGTTGATATGAAACAGGAGAAGGCGAGTCACCCAAACAGACTTAAGCTGCCACTTAAATGAAATAAGGAAAGCATTAAGAAGAAAGGAAGTTCAGAGATTCAAAGATCTACACAGCTCTACGTTTATGTTCTTGTTGCTATTTTTGCTGTCAAAAGCCTGCAGGAAATAAACTTAGACCAAAGCTGTTAACACAACACAATTGTAGTTCTGAGAGGTCTATCATTCTGTAGTAAAGTAAAATAAAATGCTTAGATTATTCTAAAAGTCAATTAAACATGTCAGTATACTCACTATCATGTATAAAGCGCACATTTTCTTCATGTGCTGGGGTGAAAAGCTCCCCACTGTTAGTTGGGGATCGGGGGCTTGAAGTCCGCTTGTAACTATTCACCATCCTGGGAGCAGATGAGCTTCACAAATATGAAAACAGCAAAATTAGCAGCAACAGTCACAAGTCTTCTAACCATTGTTTACTGTACACTTCACATAACATTACTCTGTGTCCAAAGCCTAAAGCAGCACATTTGATTACATTTTAATGATCACTGTTAACACTGGCCCAATTGTACTTGTGCATTAGCACTGAAGTGCTTCACTTGGTACAGACCTGGTCATTCTGTTTGCAGTCTGTACTCGCTCCTCGCTCCTCTATGGTGAGTGGATTTGAAGAATACAAAGGTTGAGAAGTCCTCGGCTGATTTCTAACAATAAACAACAGTGTCAACTATAGCACCCCCACTTTTACTAAGAAGTCACTTTCGAATTGACATAACGCAGGCCTACATTTACACCAAAGCTAACTACCCGAGACAGTGAACTAGTGACACTGCTGGTTCATCTACTAACTAACCAGTCCCTTACAATAAACTGTGTCGGCTGAAGATACTCGAGAAACATCAGTAACAACACGAGTGTTACTAACTCCTTGTTGCTATTGTTAAATCATTTCTGTGTAACTAAGGCACACCGTGTGTCCGGAAGGAGTGAACAAGCACTGACGTTATCCATCCAAGGAGCTTTTGTTTACGTTTTTCCTTCAGTAGTTGCAGTGGTGTTAGCAGAAAGCTACAGAGCCAGCAGCGTTAGGTTAACCACTGCTCACGTTACCATCAATATGAATATGTACTGTCTCTGAAATAGTTTCGGCTTTTTCGGATCCGTGTCCCCTACAGCTGCGCCCCGAGGGACAGCTAACTATAGATTTGCTGACACAATAATTTCAGCTAACTTTAGCCAGCTAGCTAGGTAGCTAGCTGGTTTACATTGTCTTGTCGTAACGTTAGCTTCAACCAGCTAACTGTTAACAATCTGCGGCCCCAATATTTACTGGAAACACACTGAGCGGGGTTACAACATTTTCAAGATGTGCAGTAAAGGGCACACCGTTGAGATATTCAACATACCTTATTTATGGCCCTTCCTTTGGATTTCTTTTTTCTGAGACTGTGTACGCCGTTAGACCTGGCTAAAACGTTGCCAATGCCAACCAATCATTTCCGGGAAGAGACACGGAAGTGAAAGAACTCTCACTACTGTAGTGAGTATAATATTACAGCCCATAACAACAAGCACTAAGATATATGACAACATTAATGATAATAATAATATAATAATAATAATAATAATGATAATAATAATGATAATAATAATATAATAATAATAATAATAATGATAATAATAATAATAATA